TCAATAGAACAGACAGTTTGTTAAAATAAGTTTCTTTTGTAGAAAGTTTTCTATTGAAACTGTCTTCTGTAGAAAGTTTTCAATTAACTTCTGTAGATAAGTGACTTTTCTAAATAATTTTCTATAGAAAAATATCCTCTTGAAATAGTTTTGTATATAAAAGAGTCTATTTAGATAGCTTTCCAAAGAAAATTCTATTCTTTAGATAGATTTCTAGAGAAAAGTGTCTTCTGTAAAACACTTTCTATAGAAAAGTGTGTTCTTTAGGTATTTTTTCATAGAAAAGTTTCTTCTTTAAAAATTTTTACTTAGAAAGTTGATTCTTTGGATAGTTTTCCTTAGATAAGTCTTCTGTGTAAAGAGGTTGATATAGGAAAGTGCTTTCTTTAGCCAGTTTTCTATAGAAAGTGTGTTTTTTTAAGAGTTCTTTATGTGAAAAGTGTATTCTTAGGAAAGTTTTCTATAGAGTAGAGTCTCCTTTAGATTTTTTTCTTTATAAAAAACATATTTTTCTATAGAAAATACAATTTACTTAAACGTTTCGGATCTCAATTTATAATATGAATGATTTTATTATATTCAAACTAAATACTGTATAACTACCCAGCAAAAACATTAAAAAGTTGTACTTATACAACAACTTATATTTCAATGACTACTACATACAATCTAAATTACTAATAAGTACTCTAATAAGAAAATAACTAAGCAGTGGCACGACAGCGTAAAACTAAATAACTTATGAACTTCCTATATGTATGTAATAACTTATTTAAGTACTTATTTGTAAGCGAACGAGTTAAGACATAGCTGTGAGAATGAATAAGTGGTTAAATGTAGTTGTGAGCTTTTTTAACCTCAATACTTTTCAATGTTAGTTTTTGCTGGTTAACATTTCCGCTTTACAAAAAAAGCTAAAAATTAAAAGTGCAAATATAGAAATACATTTTTTTTAGTTTGTTTAGTGCATAAATCTATTTTATTTTAATGTCTATCATTTATTTTATGTCAGTAAATCCATCCGTAATGTTTGAATGTAGAAAAAAAAAACTTTTAAGGTAAACAGGCAGTTGCAATTGAAATGTTTGCCTAGATTTGAGTGTGTTTTTTTTTTTGTTCACTCTATACTACTATTTATAATGTCTAGTTCAAGTTTAAACATTTTGTTCGAGCTGCAACTAGATTTATTCAGAAACAAAAAAACATGATCAACATTACAGAAAATAATTGGTTTTCCTGCTGTGTGACTAAGTTAGAGCAATTAGACTGTTAGTAGTTTAGCAACAAGAGATAGTAAGCTTTTTTTTAAACGCTTTTAAATTTTTAACAAAAAATTATTTATTTGAAAAAAAAAAAATTAACGTCCTTTTATCAGTATTAGTTGCTAAACGATCTATATTAATTGCTTTAGTTTATAAAGTTTATATTTAAATTAACTATAAAAATATATATTTTAATAATTGAAATGTCTATAAACTTGAACTGTCTTTAAGCTGTCTATATTTAATAGAAATTTCAAGTCTAATTTACAAAAAAAAAACTTTAAAATTTAATGAGGCCTAAATGCAAATGCATGTCTAGACCCAACATATTAGCAATATCTTGAGATATTAGTTAATGTCATTTACATTTGTCTATATGACTAATTTTGATCATGTTTAATCTTCAGACTATGCACTATGGACATCAAATATAAGTTCAATTTTAAAATATGTTCCCTTTTATTACAGAAATTTTGTAAAGTAATTGTTCAAAGTTTTCTTTAAAATATTTTATCTAAACTTTTTTTATCATTTCAAAGAATTATATAAAATGTTTTTACTTTTGCTGTTTTTATTTGAGTCATTTTTTTTTTTGTCTGAAACCCCTTATCGAATAAAAATTGCAATAATTTTAAGAAAAATTATTTTACTTTTACAATAAATGCATTAAATTTCTGCATAAAAATTAAATGGATTTAACAATTTCTATGGAATTGATAAAGTCCACTTAAAGATTTGCATAAAAAATACCGGTTTAAATAAAAAGCACACGTTTTGTAAACACATACAAGGGTAATAAAGTTTTAATGGAAAGACCCTAATAGGTATTATTCAGATGACTAAGAATTATAATAATACTACATACAATCATTTCTGTCAATTTACACGTACGATATAATTCCTTGCTTTATATATCAAGGCTAGAACTTATGAAGGGCTTAACTGTTAAACTAACTGTCGTAGCGCTCTAACTTTTTGACATTTACAATCAATATAGTCTGCGTGATCATCATGAATAGATTGACACTTGAACAATGCCAAATTACTGAATTATAGAAACACTTATTGACACTTGTATAGCGCTACCTAGTTATTCCAATTTTACTTTGAAAAACAGTTATGGATTCGCACAACTCCCAGAAGACGTGATTTTTATATATTCAACGGTAAGGTTTTTTTTTTGTTTTATCGGACTGAGACCAAGCCACAACAGAACCTATAGATTAATTCAGAAAAATTCACAGTTTGTAGCGGTTACAAGTTTGTGACATCATCGGACCTTAATTCTTTAAAAGTTAAACAGAAGTTCGCTTTGCGGTTAATAGAAATCGTTTCGTATAATACCCGAATATATGTATGTATATGAAAATGTTCCGAACGTGTTGTGGTTTCAGTTCATACTGTGAATATAGAAGAGTTTTACGTGAACACTTGACTTGACGGCCTTTTTCATCCACAGGGTGAGCTTCTTTGACGACTCACCACCACTCCTTTGTGTTTCTTACACGCAGGTGAAAATTTTTGTGAATGATTCTGCCGGTCCATGTACAAGCACTTTGCTCAAGTACTCGTGCTATCTAATCTCTTGCTATAGTACTTAGCAGGTATTATGAGACAAGCCCAATACATACCCCGACAAAGAAAAGGCAATAACTAGTTTAGAGCCAATAGAAGAGGCGTGCCTAACGTCAAACCCTATTGATGCTATGAATGCTCATTTCCATAGAACATTCTCATCATCTAAAAACTCACCCCAGTGCATTCCTTAACTTCTTAAAGCCGCTCAGCCACACTACTGAGATGGCTCTGTTATTTCGGCAACATCACCTAGGGGCTAATTGGTGGTCCGAAGAACGGATCGATTTTAATTAACAAGACTTATTTCAGTGGCCACAAGGAATTACTGTGATATAAGTTGAGCATATTTCAGATTAAACTCCAACACACTCAACCATGAAAGAAAATCGCCGATAAATTAATGATTAAGGTATTACCAGCTCCACTCAGCTCAACCAACCATCTCACTACATCCATCACATCTCAAAAACAACTCAGAATTCCACTCATCCATCGGATACTTGTATCGTACACCAACTTATACCCAATCTTTGTATTATCAACTCAAATCCAACATGTTATTAATACAGTCTTACCCTGCGGTTTGTAACGGCTCCTAGAAACTATAAGCGGTAACAGAAACTTATATTTCACCACGCATCAATCCTTTAACCAAGCGCCCCTTCCCCCGAATTTCGGTTTAAACTACGATTACTACGTGAATCCCGAAATAACCTCAACCAACTGACTAGGCAGGACAAATTCTGCGGGCAACTGGCCACCCGTAGTACCAGATTATCTTGGGCGACCCCATATCAAATCATTCCAAGGAAAGGCCGAGGATACATGTGATCATCACCAGTTTATAGTCCTGGCAGACTATTTTCCCCAGGCTTGCAACAACATTAAGATGAGAAGGGTTATCAAGGTAACATGCTCCCGGGTGTAAGACGTCTAGGGCAGGGTATTCACAGATAATGGTCATTTTGGACCTTCTCTGTTAATTTTCCCTGTCATTGCAACTGCAATTACATTTATTACACCCAATTCGAGTAGCATAACTACATAGCCCCCAATGTCAAGTTTTTACGGCATGCAAAATCTAAATCTACATTAATCAAAGTTAAATTTAACTTTCTGATTCAAAAATATGTTCATTATTTTCATGAACAAACAACAACCCACATCTGATTAAATTCACTTTCAGTTAGAAAACTAAATGACACAGACACCACAAAAACCGAAATAAATAATTATTTTTTTGTATAAATAAAAAAAGCTTTTTTTTTGTACACTAACTTATTTCGTAGAAAACAAAATCAAGTTTATTTCATTGCTTGAGTGTTTAAGTTAACTATGAGTAAGTATAAATGTGGTGGTTGTTAGTGCATCTGAAAGATACATATTGGTAGAAGACAAAAAAAATAAGTTTGCCAAAAGCGCCGGCCGGTAAAAAAAGTGTATGAAAAAAAACTTGTTTCTTTCGGTTTTTTCCTTCTTTCTTTATTTCAGATGTGAAGGTTTTTTTTCAGACATTTTCTGGCTGGTGATTTTATTTTTATTTTAACGTGAATTTCACATGTTTTCAAAGTATATATTTTTTTTGCTTTGTTTCTATACAGTGGCAATCGATTTTTGCTTAAAGAAAGAAATGTGTAGGACTGGTTTGTTAATGTTTTTTTTTGGGGGGGGTTTTCTCTATAAGATTCAAAAACAATTTAGATGTTAGAGTATAAAAATGTTTTTTTAAGGTTTTTTATTTGGTTTCTTCTGAGATTATACACTTTTATAACGATCACCAGCCATGTGAGTGAGTAAGTGAATAAGCGAGTAAGTGAGTATGTGGCGTGATCACTTTTTAAATGTTTGAAAAGTTGCTAAAAAAAATTTACCCAAAATCGTGACTAAATAAGTTCAAACAAAGCAAAATATATAGATATTTAGTTAGATTGTTTAGTTTGTTTTTTTTTTCTCTCTCTTTAAACAATTTTGCATTTAGTGGCTGCTGCTAACGCTGATCATAATGATGATTTAATGAAGAGAAATTACTTTTTAAAAGGTGTTCAGTTTTGGTGTCTTTTCAAAATTTAATTATTTTCACGAGTGTACACGTCTTAAAGTGTAAATGTTGTTTATCAATATCGTTAAAGACAAAAAAAAAACACATATAAATTTAATTACCTTTTTTTTAAGACATAAATTTCAATGTATCATTAAAACACTCTGGTTTTTCCTGTTAGATGGTGTTAAAAACTGTAAAGAGAAATGGAGAGAGAGAGGGGGGAAAATACGTTAAAATAAATATAATGTATTTTAAATAAAAATTTAATTAAAGTAACGAAATTTAGTTTAGTAAAAAAATTTAATACGATTTTTATATTTTTAATAATTTATGTGGAGAATGATTTGTCATTAACCTATAAAGTGGAACAAGTTATATTTAAAAATTTGACCTGTAGTATACAAGTAGTCTTTATAGTCTACATAATACATATATTCTTTCATCGAGAAATTATACAGACTCTATAATCCCCAAACTATCGTCGCTATAATCCCAGGACTGTAGTCTCTATAGTCAGATACTACAATCTATAGTCAATGATACTACAAGAGACTATAGTCGAGAAACTGTAATCTCTATAATCGAAGGACTATAGTCTCTATAGTCCAGAGACTATAGTCTCTATAGTCGAGAGACTATAGTCTCTATAGTCGAGAGACTATAGTCTCTATAGTCGAGAGACTATAGTCTCTATAGTCGAGAGACTATAGTCTCTATAGTCGAGAGACTATAGTCTCTATAGTCCAGAGACTATAGCCTCTATAGTCCAAAGACTATAGCCTCTATAGTCCAGAGACTATAGTCGAGAAACTGTAATCTCTATAATCGAAAGACTATAGTCTCTATAGTCCAGAGACTATAGTCTCTATAGTCCAGAGACTATAGTCTCTATAGTCGAGAGACTATAGTCTCTATAGTCGAGCGACTATAGTCTCTATAGTCCAGAGACTATAGCCTCTATAGTCCAAAGACTATAGCCTCTATAGTCCAGAGACTATAGTCGAGAGACTGTAATCTCTATAATCGAAAGACTATAGTCTCTATAGTCCAGAGACTATAGTCTCTGTAGTCTAGAGACTATAGTCTTTATAGTCCAGAGACTATAGTCTCTATAGTTCAGAGACTATAGTCTCTATAGTTCAGAGACTATAGTCTCTATAGTCGACAGACTATAATCGCTACTCTCTCGACTATAGTATCTATAGTCGAAAGACTGTAATCTTTACAGAGACTATGGTCTCTGCAGTCCAGAGACTATAATCTCTGTAGTCCAGAGACTATAGTCTCTATAGTCCAGAGACTACAGTCTCTATAGTCCAGAGACTATAGTCTCTATAGTCTAGAGACTATAGTCTCTATAGTCCAGACACTATAGTCTCTATAGTCCAGACACTATAGTCTCTATAGTCCAGAGACTATAGTCTCTATAATCCAGAGACTATAGTCTCTATAGTCCAGAGACTATAGTCTCTATAGTCGACAGACTATAATCGCTATAATAATAGAGACTATAGTAGAGAGACTGTAATCTCTACAGAGACTATGGTCCACATACTATAATCTCTATAGTCTAGGGACTATAGTCTCTATAGTCTGGATATTATAGTCTCTATAGTCTAGGGACTATAGTCTCTATAGTCTAGAGACTATAGTCTCTATAGTTTAGAGACTTTAATCTCTAATCTATATAATCTATAGTCGAGAGACTATAATCTCTAGTCCAGAGACTATAGTCTCTATAGTCCATAGACCAAAGTCTCTATAGTCCAGAGACTATAGTATCTATAGTCCAGAGACTATAGTATCTATAGTCCAGAGACTATAGTATCTATAGTCCAGAGACTATAGTATCTATAGTCCAGAGACTATAGTATCTATCGTCCAGAGACTATAGTCTCTGTAGTCCAGAGATTATAGTCTCTATAGTCCAGAGATTATAGTCTCTATAGTCCAGAGACTATAGTCTCTATAGTGCAGATACTATAGTTTCTATAGTCTCTATAGTGCAGATACTATAGTCTCTATAGTCCTGAGACTATAGTCTATATAGTCCAGAGACTATAGTCTCTGTAGTCCAGAGACTATAGTCTCTGTAGTCCAGAGACTATAGTCTCTATAGTCCAGAGGCTATAGTCTCTATAGTCCAGAGGCTATAGTCTCTATAGTCCAGAGGCTATAGTCTCTATAATCCAGTGACTATAGTCTCTATAGTCCAGAGTCTATAGTCTCTATAGAATAGAGACCATAGCCATGTAGTTTCTATATAGCCTTGACTATAGTATCTATAGTCCAGAGACTATAGTCTCTATACTTCAGTGACTATTGTCTTCTTAAAATCTTATTAAAATGGAGAAAAAAAACCTTACTTTACATTACACAAAATTGCAAATGTCATGATTATTGCATAAATTAAAAATAACAATAAAAACAAATCTTTTAATTATAAAACATTTTTTTGTTATTACTTAAATTTCATAACAAATTATTAAATCATATAATCAGGCAACACACAACTTTTTTATTTAACCTGTAACATTTTACGGTCAAATGTAATTGAAATTTTGTTTTATATAATTTATTATTATTTTTTTTACAAAAAAAAGTTTTAAAAATCCCCTCTAAACAAAAAAAAAATCGCTTAAAATACAATTTTCATAATTGTCAGCATTTTAATTGAAATGTGAAAGTATGTTACTGAACCCTACAGTTATAAAAAACAACAACCAAACAAAGACAACAAAATAGTTTTAAGTGTTTTTGGTCTTTTTTTCTTTTTCTACTCTACATATGTAAATAAAAAAAAAAATAATTTGCATTTATTTCGTTTAAAGCCAAAAAGTTCATTGACTCCACAAAAAAAATGAAATATACTAGAAATCATTATTTTTAACAAAATAAATTTAACAGCAATCACAATTTCGTTATATATTTCCCACAACAAAAAAAGGTAATTAATTTTGTTTTTTTTTTCTTCCATTTGGCTATTTGAAAAATGATCAACAACAACAATATTTTCTATATGAAAAGGTTATCAGTGGTCGAAGTGAATAAATAAATAATTAAATTTACTATTTTGAGTTGTTGATTGTATATTATTTACTTTTTTTCGGGAATAGAAGAGTTAATTTATGAGTACTTTGACAGTTATTAAAAATTTAATCAGATTACCAAAAGTGGGAGGTATAGTTTCAACTTGATTTAAAATGAACTTTAAATTTTCTTAATTAAATAAATAAACTAACTAACTAACTAACTAACTAACTAACTAACTAACTAACTACTACTAACTAACTAACTAACTACTAACTAACTAACTAACTAACTAACTAACTAACTACTAACTAACTAACTAACTAACTAACTAACTACTAACTAACTAACTAACTAACTAACTAACTAACTAACTAACTAACTAACTAACTAACTAACTAACTAACTAACTAACTAACTAACTAACTAACTAACTAACTAACTAACTAACTAACTAACTAACTAACTAACTAACTAACTAACTAACTAACTAACTAACTAACTAACTAACTAACTAACTAACTAACTAACTAACTAACTAACTAACTAACTAACTACTAACTAACTAACTAACTAACTAACTAACTAACTAACTAACTAACTAACTAACTAACTAACTAACTAACTAACTAACTAACTAACTAACTAACTACTAACTAACTAACTAACTAACTAACTAACTAACTAACTAACTAACTAACTAACTAACTAACTAACTAACTAACTAACTAACTAACTAACTAACTACTAACTAACTAACTAACTAACTACTAACTAACTAACTAACTAACTAACTAACTAACTAACTAACTAACTAACTAACTAACTAACTAACTAACTAACTAACTAACTAACTAACTAACTAACTAACTAACTAACTAACTAACTAACTAACTAACTAACTAACTAACTAACTAACTAACTAACTAACTAACTACTAACTAACTAACTAACTAACTAACTAACTAACTAACTACTAACTAACTAACTAACTAACTAACTAACTAACTAACTAACTAACTAACTAACTAACTAACTAACTAACTAACTAACTAACTAACTACTAACTACTAACTACTAACTAACTACTACTAACTAACTACTACTAACTAACTACTAACTAACTAACTAACTAACTACTAACTACTAACTAACTAACTAACTAACTAACTAACTACTAACTAACTAACTAACTAACTACTAACTACTAACTAACTAACTACTAACTAACTAACTAACTAACTAACTAACTAACTAAACTAAACTAACTAACTAACTAACTAACTAACTAACTCTAACTAACTAACTACTAACTAACTAACTAACTAACTACTAACTACTAACTACTAACTAACTAACTAACTAACTAACTAAACTAACTAACTAACTAACTACTACTAACTAACTAACTAACTAACTACAACTAACTAACTAACTAACTAACTAACTAACTAACTAACTAACTAACTAACTAACTACTAACTACTAACTAACTAACTACTAACTAACTAACTAACTAACTAACTAACTAACTAACTACTAACTACTAACTAACTAACTAACTACTAACTAACTAACTAACTACTAACTAACTAACTAACTAACTAACTAACTAACTACTAACTAACTAACTACTAACTAACTAACTAACTACTAACTACTAACTAACTAACTAACTAACTAACTAACTAACTAACTAACTAACTACTACTAACTAACTAACTAACTACTAACTAACTAACTACTAACTAACTAACTAACTACTAACTAACTAACTACTAACTACTAACTACTAACTAACTAACTAACTAACTAACTACTAACTAACTACTAACTAACTAACTACTAACTAACTAACTAACTAACTAACTAAACTAACTAACTAACTAACTAAACTAACTACAAACTAACTAACTAACTAACTAACTAACTACTAACTACTACTAACTAACTAACTAACTACTAACTAACTAACTAACTAACTAACTAACTAACTAACTAACTAACTAACTAACTACTAACTAACTAACTACTAACTAACTAACTCTAACTAACTAACTAACTACTAACTAACTAACTAACTAACTAACTACCTAACTAACTAACTAACTAACTAACTAACTAACTAACTACTAACTAACTAACTAACTAACTAACTAAC